ACGTCAATGGGTTCAAGTATATTACGTTGACCAGTGAGACGCATGAGATTCCTCCACAGTTCAGCAGAAGGAAAAGGAGAGGAGGGGGTGGATGAACTTCGAAAAGATATAAGATCATCAACTAATATAGGTACGTCTGATAGGAAGCTGTGCCTTTATCTAAATTCCGACTCGATTGAACTTCTGTTTTCGTCATTATTCTCCGCCAAAATTCTCCATGACTTTCAGAAAGGACCATCAGGAATTTAGAAAGCCTCACCAAAATACCGTTTTCGCTCACAATTAATTCTGTGCATGTGGTTTCGTTTTCTTCGATTGCTCATCCAAAATTTCGATTTTTCGATCTTTCAGTCCCCGCACGATGCCCTCTCTAACCAACTTCAAAGAAGTAATGGGGTCACGTTGAAGAGTACGCTCCAAGCCGACTCGGTTTCGCTAATCGTCGGCCTTCATCAAGATTCCATTCTGGACTCTGAGATTTCGAGCTTTCGCCTCCTTTGTCAGTCCCGCCCTAGATCAGCCACCAGCTAACATTCCAGGCTCTTCATGAAGAACTTACCCTATTCCTCTATTTTCCTTCGCGAACAATGATTTTCGTGGATTTCACAATCATCTCACCATCTGAGCCCTCAGCAATCTGTTGACGATCACGGTGGACTCCTCTGTTTTCGCCATCTGCTAGCAGCTTGATCGCTCACGTCTTTCCGCGCTTTGATGCCCTAATAAAAATTCTGTCCAGGGCCACGGCCTAGGGCGCTGAACAGGGGACCAAGCCGGCGGCATGAGACACGCGGGAAGTTAGACGGCCGACCGGCATACACTGCAGCGCCGAGTACGTGTGGTGGCTTTGCACGTGCGCGGCCCAATCGATGGCTGGTCGAGCATTCAAGACGTTATCACCGGGGGGCTATCGCGCACACGCCATTGGTCGGAATGTTCTAGAACTCACAGGAGCCACTATAAATAGCGCACCTTTCTTACTAGTTGAACCCCCTCGTGTCCGCAAGTTTCCAATAAAGTGCTCGTCGTCGGAACCGGCTCTATTCCATTCCTACCTTCCTTCCGGGTCATAACAACTCTCTGATCCTGGTTGGGAACGTGACATTTTGTACCAGAGAGAGATTAACCGTTAGCTTCAAGAGCTTGGAATCAAAGGAATTTTGTGGACCATTTACTAATAAATTGTTCCAGTCGACCATGGGTGCTTGAAGTCTCCGGTTATCAGTACCTCTTGGTTTTATGACCCCTCTTAAATTAACACAAACATCGCTTCGTCAACCTCAGCAGTTTGATTAGGCGGCCTGTATACTGTCAGCAAATTCAGATTAGGTGCGCCACGCATCTTGAATTCTAACCACAGTGCTTCACAGTCACGGGAACAATCGGTTTTGTGTTCTGACGCGATGACTGCTCTCTTGACGCAGACCGCTAGTCCCCCTCCTTTCTTATGCAGTCTGTCCCGGCGAGAAAGTTGGTATCCATTGAGTGTAATTTCGACATCAAAGACTTCGGTCTAGAACCAAGTCTCTGTAATAGAAATGACATCCGGCTGCCTATCTGATATCCAAACTTTCAGCTCCTCTAGCTTCTGGAACAAATTGTGAGCATTTGCATAAAAAGCCGACCTTGACACGGGCAGATTCCCAAACGATTTTTGGGTCAAAGTTGATAGATATTTCGTGCGAGTTTTCAGGTCTATCGTCCCGTTCCGATTCTACTGCTGTTTGCTTGAAATGGATGTCAGTGTGTTGGTCGCCGTTTTCTCTGTTCGGTTTGCCAGATAGGAGCGTTCTTTTCTTATTATCTGGTTGTTCATTATGCTCAGTGTTATTGGTTGTCTCCAGGAGAATGAGCTCCGAACATTTACGATTATGCCATTCAATATTCTTAGGTTCCTCTCGCCGGAATTGTATCTTCTGAGGAGCTCGACCTTGAATTCCCTCAATTTCTCCTGTTCGGCCAGTGAACAATCCCGCTGAAAAAAATGTTGGGTGGGCATTTCGCAGTGCTGGTTTCCTGTTCAGCAGTAATAGAGCCTGTTCCTCATTTTCGAGAATAATGTTTTATGGTCTATGATTGCCCGACTCGTCCTTCAAATCCTTAATTGGTCCTATTCTGAAAGCCTTCAAGACGGTGATGTTCGCATACTCTTGTAATAGCGATTTGAGGTCTAGATAAATATAAAGAAGAGAAATGCACAAAATCCAGAATTCCTGGCGATTTACAGACCACCAGACCTTCTAAAAGCAGCTGATGAGTCGCTCCTTCATTTATCAAGGACGTAGCTAACCACCAAGAGGTTCTTATTGCTGGGGACTTCAATGCACCTTCAATAGAGTGGAAAACTATGGCAGTTAACGGTAGGCCAATTTCCTTCAGCAATAAGCTAATGAACCTCACACTCGATCTCCTACTGGCTCAACATGTAAAGGTGTCAACAAGATTTCGAGAGAACCAGAGAGCTAATTGCCTGGACCTAGTTTTCACTGAAGACTTCTCTAATATCGACGAAGTGTATTCCAATGCACCTCTAGGGAAAAGTGACCTTACTACGTTACTGTGGGATTACTCGCACTTCTCTCAAAGCCAGAAGGGAACAGAGGACAGACTTTAACACGATGAAAAACGAACAGATGTCCGTGCATTGGGACCGTTTGCTCAAGGGAAATCCGGAGAACGACTGGAGATCTTTTAAGACGATCTCACTCGATCTAATTCCGCGCTGTTGTCGACCAAAAGTATAAAAAAACAACTGGTCGACCTCCTTGGTTAACTAGGGACCTAAATAGGCAGTTATGAAAGAAGAAAAAAGATGGAAAATATTCAGGGAAACTGCGTCGCCAGCGCCATTTGAAGAATTTCGTCGTCAACGAAATGCAGTCAAAACTGTATCCGTCAGTCACGGAAGGAGTGGGAATCTAACATTATCCTACAGGCTGAACAGAAACCCAAGATTTCGTTTCATTATCCTAACAGTAGACTGAAAAACAAGGACTCGGTCGCAGTGCGGAAGGACGATAATGCTGTAGAAATCATTGTGAACAGCGGGAAAGCCGAACACTTAGGATGGTTTTTACTAGGGAAACAGGGTTTCGTAGTCGCAGTACCAGCAGTGCTGTTGGGACTGCTGGTCTCGTGCTTGGCTCCATACTCTTTCCGACAGCTGTCGTAGAAATGGAGCTTCAAAATCTCAAAGAAGCAAAGTCCTCGGGCCCAGACAATATACCGGCCAAATTCTTGAAAGAATTGACAAATGAACTTGTAGTGACATTTAAGCCTGTTTTTGTTTTAATCAGTTACAATACGCTTTGACAAAGAACACGCACGTGCGCGTTTACCTGCTGACGACTTTGTGCTTATTTACTAGTTTGTAACTGTTGGGATACTGCTATTTTCGTTTCCTGGATAGCCTACTCGCTGTGCCCAACTAGTGGGTTTGTCTCTTACACTGGCGACCCTGTATCGTTCATAGCTCCTTCTGTTTAATCTCTGTGCATAACTATTTCCATTCGGATTAATCCTCACTCTAATTTTTATTGATCAGATTATTCATCTAGCCCTTATTTGCTATTCACACTGTCTCACCCTTTCATCCAATACGAGCGCTACCCTTCAATCTCACCGTCAACGCGCCAGTCCTCTACTCCATTTATCTGACCTCTGACCGACCCCGGCTAATTATGTCCAGCGATTCTACCAGCCAGCCGATAGCCGGCATTCACACTTTTGACTTGCCATCCGTGTGGCTCGGTGACATCGCGTTATGGCTGCGCACTGTAGAGTCACGATTCGCCCTCCGTCAGATCACACGAGAGGATACGAAATTTCACTATTTTGTGGCAGCACTCCCAATGGACATCGCCACCGACCTCCGCGACATCATAGATTGCCCGCCCACAGAAGCCCCTTATACTGCCCTAAAGGAGGCCCTCATTTCCCGCATTTCCCTCTCAACGCAAAAACGTCTCCAGCGTTTGATTTCTGAGGAGGACCTCGGTGACAGGAAGCCTACGCAGCTTCTTAGGCGTTTGGAGCAGTTGGCGGACGGACAAAAGCTGGATGCCACCATGTTCAAGCAACTTTTCATCCAACGATTGCCTCCTTCTGTGCAAGCCATCCTTGCGCCTAACATTCCTTCGTCGACTGTTCAGATGCTCGCGGATACTGCTGACCGTATACTCGAGTACTACCAGCCTCCTGTTACGGTTAACGTCGCTAGTCGAAGCACAACTGCCCCCACAATCGAGGATGTCGTCAAACGCCTGGATGCCCTCACTCTCGAAGTTTCCCAGCTCCGGGCCACTCGTGTCTATAACCCTCGTAGTCCTGCAATTTCTCGCTGCCCGAGATCTCCCACTCCAAACAAACCTACAGTTGATGGTTTCTGTTGGTATCATCACAATTATGGTTCTAACGCCCATCGCTGCCACTCTCCGTGCAAGTATAAAACACCCGCGTCGGAAAACTCTCCTGCCGACCATTAAGGGCGACGAACGTGGTCGGCACATCCTCTCCCAGTCGCTTACTCCACATTTATGACAGGACCTCCTGTCGTAATTTTCTCGTGGATACTGGTGCGGAGATCAGACTAATCCCACCCACCTTGACTGACCGTAAGTCACCAAATTCTTCATTTTTCCTCCAAGCAGCTAACAATACTTCTATTAAAACTTTTGGTCAACAATTCCTTAAACTAGATTTGGGTCTAAGACGTTCATTTCGTTGGCTATTTACTATCGCTGATGTCCATACTGCCATTCTTGGCGCTGATTTTATATCCTTTTTCGGTCTTCTCGTTGACATTAAGTCCCATAAATTATTTGATTCTAAGACTTCTTTACATTGTAATTGTTCCACTCGTACCCTTTCATCACCTAATCCACGCATTTCAACAATCCCTTCGTCTACTCCCTATCATCGTTTACTTTCGGAATTTCCATCTATCACACGACCTTCACAATCTAACCAACCTATCAAGCATTCTGTTGTACATTATATTTCAACTACTGGACCACCCGTGTTTAGCCGTCCCCGTCGTTTAGCCGCCGATAAGTTAGCCATAGCCAAGGCTGAATTCAGTCACATGATGGAGCTAGGCATAGTTAGGCCTTCCTCTAGTCCATGGGCTGCACCTCTGCATATGGTGTGCAAAAAGTCTCTCGTTGACTGGCGCCCATGCGGGGATTACCGACTGTTAAACACCTCCACTGTGCCTGACAGGTATCCACTTCCCCATCTCCACGACTTTTCATCTAGCCTAACTGGAGCAACAATATTTTCTAACATTGACTTAGTCAAAGCTTTCCATCAGATACCCGTTGCTCCAGAAGACGTTCCCAAAACGGCGATTACAACACCGTTCGGTCTGTTCGAGTTTGTCAGGATGCCTTTTGGGCTACGCAACTCCACCCAAACTTTTCAACGTTTCATCAACGAAGCCCTCCGCGAGTTACCGTTCGTTTTTGTCTACGTCGACGATGTTCTGGTAGCAAGTTCCAGTGAACACGAGCACCTACAACATTGGCATCTCATTTTTGAACGATTGAGCCAATTTGGCGTTTTCATTAATGTTTCAAAATGCGCATTTGGCGCACAGTCGCTGTTTTTCCTAGGACATCGCGTAGATGCTTCTGGTTGTCATCCCATAGATACCAAAGTTTCAGCTATTCGCGATTTCCCTACTCTCACTTCTTTTCAACAACTGCGCCGTTTTATAGGCCTTGTCAATTTCTATCGACGTTTCATCTCTCATTGTGCTCAATTAATGCTACCACTTACTAACCTTTTACGCGGGAAAAACCGTGAGTTTTCTTTTCCTGACACAGCTGTAGAGGCTTTCAATCGTGCGAGGAAGGCTCTTGCAGATACAACTGTCCTTGCTCACCCTATACCTGATGCCCCACTTTCCATTGTGGCCGACGCCTCTAATTTCGCTGTAGGTGCTGCCCTTCAGCAACAGACGCCCACTGGCACCCAACCCTTGGCTTTCTACTCTGCCAAATTGACACCCCCACATTCGCTATAGCACTTTTGGTAGAGAACTTCTTGCAATTTATTTAGTCATTAAGAATTTTCGTAATTATATTGAGGGCCGAGATTTTTGTATTTATACTGACCACAAGCCTCTTACTTATGCCCTTTCTACTTCTTCTGACAAGTATTCACCCCGCGAGACCCGTCATCTCGATTTTATTTCTCAGTATACCACCGACATTCGATTTCTTAAAGGCCTTTATAATCAAGTTGCTGACTGTCTTTCTCGGTCTGGCATTAATGCCATCACCCGCCCTCCCATTGATTTGGAGCGCATGGCAGAACTGCAAAATCAGCCGACTTTCAGTGAGAGCCTTCAACACACTAGTCTTCAACTCGAAGCCATTCCTCTTTCCACCACCCCCGGTACAATCTTGTGTGACGTATCGCGCGGTGCCTCCCGACCCGTAGTGCCAAACGAGATGAGACGAGATGTTTTTGCCGCGTTGCACAATCTAGCTCACCCTGGCATCAGCACTACCCAACGCCTCGTCAGCGAGCGGTTCGTTTGGCCAAGCATGAACACTGATATCCGCCAGTGGACACGTTCATGTTTGGCCTGTCAGAAGGCCAAAGTCGGTCGGCACAACAAAGCCCCCATTGGCACTTTTCTCGCACCCGACGCACGTTTTTCACATGTCCATATCGATCTGGTAGGTCTCTTTCCAACATCTCGTGGTTGCAACTACTTACTTACTGCGACTGACCGATTTACTCGTTGGCCCATTGCAACTCCCATAACTAACATAACTGCAGATTCCGTTGCTCATGCTTTTTCGGAACACTGGATCTCACATTATGGCGTACTCTCAACAATTACCACCGATCGAGGTTAACAATTCGAGTCCAGACTTTTTAACAGCCTTACCAACCTCCTCGGATGTTCTCGCATACGCACGACAGCATACCACCCCTCATCCAACGGTTTAGTCGAACGTTTCCACCGGCAACTCAAAGCCTCGCTCCGAGCTCATGACAACCCTTCCCATTGGAGCGAGCATCTGCCTTTGGCCATGCTCGGTATCCGTACCGCACTCAAGCCCGACTTGGAGTGTTCCGCTGCCGAACTTGTCTACGGTACTACCCTACGGATTCCAGGTGATTTTTTTCGGGTACTCTCAAAGCTCAGCCGACTTGGATCCCAGCGATTATGTGCGAAGATTGAGCCAAGTCATGACTCATCTTCGAGCCACTCCTCCACGTCCTTCAACAAGTAAGTCGTACGTCGACCCGAACTTACCAACATGTTCTTTTGTATTTTTTCGCGTAGATAGCGTTCGCCGGCCACTACAACAGCCCTATGACGGCCCATTTCGAGTACTATCGCGCACGGACAAGCACTTTACAATTGACCGTGGAGGCCGCACCGACGTGGTCTCAATCGATCGCTTGAAGGTGGCTTATACCGAGCCTCCTCCAACTTCTCCAAACGAACAACCTCCACTTGGCCCATTGCCACTTGCTATTTCCCAGACTCCATTTACGCCCAATAACCCCGCGTCTTCCCTTATTCCACAGACTCCTCCCCTTATGCGCAGCGGTCGTCATGTCCGTTTCCCCGACCGTTACCAACTTGTACAATATGCATAACACTCCCTGGGTGCCTAAATGGCAACCTTCAGAAAAAAAAGAACAGGAAGCACAAATTGTGGAGAAAATACTGCGTCACTAGACAAGCTGAATGCTTCACTACCTACAGGACACAGAGGAACAAACTGAGGAAGCTGTTAATGAAGACGCGGTGGGAATTCAAGAAGAACTTGCTACAAAAAAGCAACGCAGAACCCAAAATTGCTCTACAGTTACCTCCGACGAAGTACAAGGAACAGGCATCAAATCCCCTTGATAAAGACTACTGATGGCGTTGAGATCGCTGATAGTAGAGATAAAGCTGCGTATTTTTCACGGTTGTTCCAATCAGTTTACACAAACGAGGCAAGGTTCATTCCTCCCTCCACAGAAGAACTGCCGACTCCAAGCGTCAGTGATATACTCTTCTCAGAAGGCATTGTCCGAAGAGAATTGGAGGCATTGAAGGAATCGAAGTCACCAGGATTAGACGAGATTCCCCCCAAGCTTCTCAAGGACCTTGTCAGTGAGCTTTCTGGGCCTTTGTCGATGCTCTTTCAAACGTCATTTGACACTGGAACACTTCCTATTGATTGGAAGCTGGCGCATATTACTCCGCTACACAAAGGAGGTTACAGGGCAGCGACGACAAATAACAGGCCCATAAGCTTGGCATGCATTCTCTGCAAAGTTGTGGAAAGGATCATAAAGAGAGAACTGATGCAATTCCTGGAAGTTCACGGCCTGCTATCGGACTGCCAACAAGGGTTCCGGAAAGGAAGATCCTGCACGACAAACCTGCTGCAATCTCTCCAGAGCTGGACCCGAGCTCTCAACGACAGATACGCGGTCCACATAGCCTTCATCGACTTCCAGAAGGCGTTCGACACTGTGCCACACCAAAGGCTCTTACATAAGCTGAAAAAAATAGGGATCGGTGGCAACTTCCTTAAATGGATCGAAAACTTCCCTTTGGGTCGACACCAGGTTGTGTGCCTTGGTCGGGGAAAATCAGATCCGGCTATGGTAGATAGTGGTGTCCCCCAGGGTTCAGTACTGGGACCCATTTTGTTCCTTATCTACGTGGACGATGCCGCAAGAGATTTAGACTGTGAAGTAGCAATTTTTGCGGATGACATGAAGATATGGAGTGTAATTCGGGGTCCTGTCGATGAAGAGAGACTGCAGATGAACCTGAATCGGTTGGAGGAGTGGTCAAACCGTTGGCTCCGGCGGTTCAACGTTGCCAAATGTAGCATACTTCGCCTAGGCAACACAGCCAGATCCGCCAGCACAAGAGGCTACTTCCTGGGCGGTGCAGCCCTACAAGAGGTCGAAGCCCAAAGGGACCTCGGTGTGCTTACGACGAGTTCCCTAAAACCATCGGCCACTGTTCGAGGGTGGCAAAAAGCGCAATGTCCGTACTATACTCCATCAAGCGTGCGTTTATGGACTTTGACGAAGAAGCTTTCTCTTAGACATTCGGAACATTCGTCGGCCGCATTTAGAGTACGGCATACAAACTTGGAGGTCGTGGGCTGTTGAGTATCAAAACTGCCTCGAAAGAGTCCAGAGGAGAGCCACGAAGATGGTTAGGGGTCAAAGCTCCTTTCCTTGTGCAACCCGCCTAGTAAATCTGAACCTCTTTCCTTTGAGTTACAGGCAACTTCGCGGGGATCTTTTGGAAGTCTTCCGCATTGTTAAGGGGTTGTATTGCAGTCTGGCCTTCGGGACATTTTTTGAATTTGCTACCACGACTAACCTCCGAGGTCACTCGTTAAAACTGCGCACTCAGCAGGCACGGCTGGATGTGCGGAAGTTCTCCTTCTCGGTTCGGGTGGTCAAACCATGGAATGAGCTTCCCGCAGATGTTGTGATGCCA